CCTGATCTCTCTCTATGTGTGCGCCTTTATCAATCATTTGACTGACCCCCTTCCCCCTAAAAGCTTTCACCTGGTTATCACAAAGGCCTCATTATCATTCCATTAAAGAAATGGACCTATATGCCTTGTCAATTATTTTAAAAATCCCAAAATGCCCTTTTCTTGATTTGGAAGATGATTTTACCATTTTCTACTAATATTATTAAAAATGGTCATTTACTAGATCACCCCGTATAATTTTATGGATTTAATTAAATATATCATATAGTTTTTGTTTTGTTAAAACACATTCTACGGTTTGTAATCTGTTTATTTAATTCACCTTTCACTAAAATATGTTTGTTTTTATTAACTGTCATTTTCCACCGCAGATCGAATGCAAAGTATAGGAAGTGTTTTAGTAAAATGCAAACTATAGAATAAGTTTTGGTAAATCCATAAAACTATAGGGAGTGCTTTATTAATAAATAACCCACATTTCCAATCATGATCTTAAAGCGAAAAGCCCTGATGCATCATTTACATAGGCTAGATCTGGTGAAATTTTGATGCACCATTTGGATAATTCAGATTTATTAACTGATTTCAATAGGTTTTTTTGATGGTCCACATTTATAGTTTTTACTTGATACATTATTTTATATGGCCTAGATTTATTAATTATAGATATTTTCATGTATTACTTGTATGGATGAGATTACTTGAAATATTGACAGATCTTAGGGTGCTATTTTGATGACCTAGATTTAGATGTTATTTGGTACGCACTTAATTAATTTTACATGACTGCATTGCAAGGTGTCCACTGGTTGGTTGGTAAGGTCTCCTGCTACGGGCAATTTTCTGTTATGGGCAATTTTGTAATTGCCAACTCATAGTTCACACTATTAGGAAAATGCAAAGTATGGGAGAAATCTGACACAAAAAAAAATAAATAAAAAAAAATAATAGTTCAGGGAGTAAAGTGATAGACCCCCCCAAACTGATTGGGGGGTGGGGTATGTCCGTATGTGAAATTTACCCAATAAAAGAAAAGAAAATGGCCACCATTACCCAATGTTTCTCCAGGCTATCTGGGGCCTTGGGAGGGTTTGGATTTGATACAGACCTAAAATTTTTCCCCCACCGAAGGGAAATCATAGGTGATAGGTCCCCTCCAAGAAAGAACAAAAGGACTTTTGCTTTTGAATCAATAACAACATTATTGATTGAAAGAGAAGGGCATTCTGAAAAGATGCCCATTTGGATAGTGGTAGAGGCTTCGATTGTGATTACTCGACTCAGTTCATCAAAGCTATTAAAAGTGCTTCACTTTCCATCAACTTGGCTGGGCCAATGTTGACCAGATGAGTAAGGCAAGGAATAGAGGTTTTGAATGCATTTTTCTTCAAGTAGACTCAGACTTGGTGATTATCAAATCAATCTGAGCAAGCATTAATGAAGGCCCAAGGCCCAGGCAATACATCTTTCTCCTTGCACGCTCATAACTGGGGGGATGCAAAGCTTGACATATTTTTGGGAAGCCACTCAGGCAGCAAAATTTACTGTTTTATGTCGCTAAGCACAGCCAAGCCAACTGTGAGACAATTACACATAGATATGGTTGCGAGATTTAGACATGCATTGAAACATATAGAAACTCTCGTAAATCTTACACATACATTGACAACGCTAAATTTAAAGTTGAAATAACATTAATGTAAATACATGGCAAAATCTACGATGCCAGAAGGATATGATACCGGAAAGGCTTTGACCATCAAAACCCTCGTGAATTCTGATTAAGAAGATCGAGTTGATTGGTAACCATTTTTTGATACCGGTTATTAGTTATAAGTCTTTCCGGCATCAACAAGAGTTGAATACAATATATATAACCTTTTACAAGTTACATGTATAAAGCTATTAATATGTTATTATTTATTTAGTTTAATTTATTTTTTTAGGCTGCGTTTGGTAGAGGTGTAAAATCGAATCGGAGTAAACTTTGCACCCCGGTTCGATTTTGCAGGCATTTGGTAAATATGCAATTTGACAAGAACAGGGAGGCGGCGACAGCAGTGTTGCTAGGGCAAGAACCGATCAATCTACTGAGGCAAGGTTGGCCGTCGACGAGAACAGAGAATAGAGAGGCGGCGACAACAATGGTTATCTGTTCATCATCTTCCTCTTAAGAGAACAGAGAGGCGGCGATGAGAACAGCAGTGGTTGCCTTCCCTATGACCATTGCTTTGATGGTTGCCACAGCGGTGGAGGCGGTGGGAGTGTGGTCTTCGGCTTTGTAGAAGAAATGTCTAACAATGTTGGTGCATGGCCCTGCCACCAGCTTCTCCCAAGCTTCTTCTGCTTCCTTGTCGTGCTTCAAGAGCACTTCGGTGGCATCGAGGAAGTGCATATAAATTTTCTGCAACTAGCAATGGGTTAACGTGCAGGTGTTCACCTTGATCTCCTCGATCACCTCCTTGAGGAGTATCGACAGGGTTTCTTCGTCCGCCGGTGCTGCGGCTTCTACTCAGAGGAACCAGTCCATCTCCGACACCCCAATGGCCCGCCTAATTCCCCGAGAATAGTCGGCTTTCGGTTCAAAGAACCTCCGCAACTGGTCCACCAACCTGGCCTCAACCATGCAGCCCACTCACTTGGACACAGATGAGTGGAGCACAGGCAAGCACACATCCACCCAAAGGAAGCAACAGTTGTACCTCGATCGGAACTCAAGATCGTCCACTGGTGCGATTGCAAGCTCTCATTATATTCTTGGATGGAGCTTCAACAGAAGCAGCCAAGTGCAAAAACTGGGTCTGATACGCCACACCCGGTCACCAATTTCTGGGTCTAATACGCCGCTCGCGGTGCTCTGTTTCTTGGTCGACCGGCAAGGACTGCAATCTCTCGGTTGCAGTGGACTTTTACCTCAATGAAAAGAGTGTAAAATGGGACAAACATCCGATTCCCATTTTACACTCTCATGAACCCATCGGTGTAATAATCCTCGGTGTAAGTTTAGATTTACACCTCTACCAAACGCAGCCTTAAGTGATAATCATGGAAACATATATTTAATCTAAAAATGTATTAAATCTATAAGAACATAAGGCCAATGGGGATACGTGTGGGTAGCAGGTCCAAGCTCTCATTTGGCATCCAAAATCAAGGTAAATGTATGTAGGAACCAATCTATGTTTAGGTGTTCTACCAAAAAAGAATTCATGGTTAGGTTTAGTTTGTTTGCAATGCAATTTCATTTGCACTTGTGCAAAAAGTATGGGAGTGAGAATGAATTTAATGCAAATTTTGGTTTATAATTGTTTTAACTTTGTGTTAACTGTTTGCAGTGAAAATGAGGTGATGTAAAACCTGGAACAAAGTAAACCCAAAGCAAAAGTAAATTGATTTGCACTTCCATAAATTTGCACTAGCTGCTTTACAAATAAACGAATGTGCAAGTTGGGCGGAGAAGCTTAAGGCCCACTGGCCTAATTAACCTGAGTATCAAAATAGGTCTTTTAGCAAATGTTTCAGCTCAATGGGCTGGTAGCAGTTCAATTTTCACCTCTTTTTTCAAATGAGAATTTCCGGCTAGAAGTAGGGGTGTAAACCAAGAGAATTTTCAAGTACATCGGGTTCATCCTCATTCAAATTTTGACAATTTTTCAATCCGAACCTACCCAAGTTACACCCCTACCATTGTAGGCCCATTAATTTTGGATGAATTACCATCCCTTAAAAGAGAAACAAAGAAACAAAGAAACAAAGAAAGAAAGAAACAAATAAAGAAAGAAAGAATAAAAGCAAATAAAACCCTAGCATCTCTGAAGGTGACTTATTTCATGTAAAGAAGAGCATCTTCCTGATTTTGGCAGTGTTGCTTGCAATCATCACATTGGGCTCCCAATTTAAGCAATTTCCAAATAGATCTCTGTAATAAAAAATTTGAAAGATCTAAAAACCTTCTGATGATTTGACCCCTATTTTAGGCTGTGTTTGGTTTGAAGGAAAAAGTAGAGAAAGGAAGGAAAAGGTAGGAAAACCTATATAAATTTTGTAAAGGTTTTTCTACCTTTTCCTTCAAACCAAACATAGCCTAAGCTCCTCAAATGGATTCTGACTGCAATACAACTCATTGTTTCTGCTGATCTGCCATTCTCCCTCTGATCCAGTGATGGGATAACTTGGACCAATTTGGTCAAAACATCTGCTATAGTGTTCTTTGGGAACTACACAAAACAAGGTCATTTCTGGCATTCCAATCTATAGAAGATACAAATAAAACGCCTCATTGCAGTCTTTGTTGTCCAAGTGCAAAAATAGGCTGTCCAAATTGAAGGATTTCAACTACATACTCTGGTTCGGTTCAGGCTTGGGCCCATTCAAAAATTGATAAATGCTCAACATAATCCAACCACCATTCTTCTTCTTCTTCTTTCTTCATCTTGAGTGCTACCAATTCATCATAACTCAAGAAAAAGCTAAATCAACACTCTGAGAGGTTAGATCGTGCATCTTCATATGCAAGGCTCAAAGTACCATGTCTTCCCGGAATCATAGATTTTCCCGGTTTTAAGTATTTCATCCTATCAGTGGAGTCAAAAACCAAACATATAGTATAATATGCATCGATATATTATGATATTTTTAACTTTGTTCACAATTTGAGTGACCATCTCTCCCTCTCTCTCTAAAATACCTCATTCATTATCGAGACTGGATCTAGTAAGTACAACATAAGTAAACACGTTAAATGAGCACTTGATAAGTATTTTGACAACTGTCAAAAGTAGGTTTTAATCTTTTTCAAGAGTGGGCGAGGGTATTTTAAGAGACAAGTGTCAAAAGAAATTTCAAATGCTCATTGAACGTACTTACAATGTTGTGCCTACTTGATCCAAACTGTTCATTATCATCTTCTAAGCCTTGCTCAACCGGGTGTTCAATGGCGGAATCAGAATGAATACCAATTTTTGTATTTTATGCATGAAAAAATCAGAAGAAATTGTATATTAAAAACCAATTCAATACTTCAATTTGGCTTTTCCAAAAGGCTATATGATGAATCGTAACAATATAAGCCATTCTGATACAATTATTTTTTGAAAGAATACAATCATCTGATACAATTATATCAATGATTTGCCAGACGATCCATATAATACTGTTTGATCCATTGGCCAATGATTTTGATCTCTTGATTTCGTTGCATGACTAACCATTTAGGGTCATCTGGTAATTCTGGGAGTATATCCATGCAATGGGATCCTGCAAATTAAACAAGCTAGACTTATTACTCAATATTTTGATAAAATAATTTGGAAATTGAATCACTTTTTCTTCTAATTAGTGGGTCGGTCAATTGACTGTTTGGCTTAAACGGGTTAATTAATAATATTATAAATGAAAAAATAAAAATAAAATATAGAAACATTATAAATTGTTTAAAAAATTAGACGTCTCTAATATTATATATTTATCATATTAAATAAAAATAGGTGTGACAATTGATAAATGAGAATTTGTGTTATTAATGATAGAAATGGATAAAATATACAAAATAAAGAGAAAAAATAATTGATGTCTAACTTATGACTTACTAACTTGGTCAAACAATTCAGCAATTTAGTGATTAAATCAACGAATTGTTGACCAAGTTTTTCTTTTCTTTGCAAGTAAACAGTTTCGGGGCTACCGACCCAGAAACTTGGTTGGTGATGGGCCTACTGGTCTGACCAGATGGTTCAACTGTGTTTTTTTTATTCTAACAGTAATAAACCTATTGATAATGGAAATTTTGTAAAGGCTTAGTTTGTTTGAATGCAATTTCATTTGCATTGATGCAAAAGAATGAGTGTGCAAATGAGTCAAATGTCTGAAGCAAAAGAGTCAATGTTTTAAAAACTGATTCGGAACTGGAACCATTATGGCCATTGGTTTTCGGGTTGACAGTTCGATCGTCTGGTTCGAACGATGGATGGACCTTTCTGACAAAAAGTTAAAATAAAAATGGCCAAAAATCGTTGAATGGGTCAAATGGATTGATGGTTCGACCGTCCAGATCAATGGGTTATTGACCAATTCAACATTTTTTGCTAGGGACCGAGTTTGGAGTAAAATGGAACCGGTTGCCTGGATGGTTCTCGGGCTGAACAGTCCAACCGTCCAGATCAACCGCAGTTCAAAAACATTGAAACGAACTAAAATAAAACTTAAAAGCAAAGTCATGTAAAATATGAAGAAAAAATAAACCAGAACTTTACATTTTTTCCTTCCATGTATTTGCAAATAAATGGACCAAAATTGTACTTAATTTGCCAAGAACTTTTAGGCTGTAGATTTCTTCTCATCTCAAAAACAATGTAATAATTTTTAATTAAAAGTAGTGCATAAAATAAAAGGTGTCAAAGACATACCTTGAGTAGTATATATGGCTACAAGACTGTCTGATATATTTTTGAGGACACTGATCAGGAGACAAATAAACCAATCTCATTATTTGGTTAAGAAGAACACAAATAGAAAAACAATAATACATTACAAAGTTTTGTGACAAGTTACCTTCCACTACTGTAAGGATCTCTAAGTCCATTTGAGAATATGATGTTGCCACCAAATCTCTTCAAAACAAGTTCAATATCCTGAAATTTTATATAAACAATGAGGATTTTGGATTGGGTAGATTCCATATATGGCACTGAACAGAAAGGAATATATGGTGAAAGGAGATTCATGTAACCAATCCCATATATAAGGCTTAAGACTTAGAAGATGAGTATGAATACAGCATTTTAGAGAGAGAGAGAGAGACTTACATGACCACCAAATTGAGTGGTGATCCAATTAGACCTGGGGCTGATACCATAGAGACGCTTGCATCTTTGTTTGAAGTTCGTTAGATTAAAGGGTGCTGCTTGGAACATAGTATCGTTGCTACCACGGCCAATGGGCATTACCATTTCACTACATCTCTAATGGATATACCACCATATATAGTTAAATAAAACAAATATTGAACCACTGAGTATTCAAAGAGAGACACATACACATCTTTAAGTTGTGTTTGGTACCATACCTAAAACTCTTTGATTTATCAATACAAATTGGCATTAAACTGATGTATCATACACACCATTCTTAGAAATGTCAACTTGATGAGCATCTCCCTCCAAGGTTTTTCGGGGGCGAAGTCTAATGCTAGAATTGACTCTTATATGTGATGTGATAACACATATCTCTCACCATTTTATATTGATCAACCCAAAAGGTCTCAGGTAGAAACAACGATTAGTACTAAACATAACCATAGCGTTCAAAAAAGCATAAACCTCAAACATCTCCCTCCAAGGTTTCTCGGGGGCGAAGTCTGATCATTCTAGCTGATGTGACTCTTATATGTGATGTGATAATCTCTCACCATTTTGTATCGATCAACCCAAAAAGTTTCAGGTAGAAACGGCTAAACACAACCCTAGTGTTCAAAAAAGCATAAACCTCAAATACCTGCCAATTCCATCCTCTCTTTGTTTCGGTCGAGTATTTGAATTCCTTTGTATCATAGCACGACTGGTTTCCTTTATAAGCAACTAAACCTGCAAAGACTTTACTCAGAAGATCAGCTCCTTTAGATGTGTTGTCGATGGCACTACAAATCGCAGAGACTGGAAATGTTGGAGGCCGATCATATTGGGCAGCTGAATTGTATATTGTTTCCAAATAGTCCTTGAGCTCAGATGACAAATTTAGTGGACTAAGGAAGAATAGACAGTGTTAGCATTTAAACGTGCAGCTACATGATGAAAACAACTTTGTAAAGGTTTAGTCCAATTACAAGCAAGTCTTGAATTTCTTGGTAAGAACTGAAAGACCATTAGGTTGTGATGCAGTTTTGTCAATCTCAGACCATGATTGGCGAATGGTATTATAGCAATTCTCACTGGTTTCCTGCACCAAGGGAATTAACAGAATTAAAGCTAAAAACCCTAGTGCGAATTTGAAGTAAGATTAAATTGAACAGTCTGAGTTCAGTTGCTTACTCTAAAATCCTTGGTGACAATGGAATAGTATCCATTTTGTGGTGTGATATCTTCGAAATAAAGAATCGGTGCCGACGATGCTAATGCCCCGAGGGCGATGTGGGGGTACTTTAGGCGAAACCATGCCGCAAGCACTGAAAATTGAAGATCAAGGAAACAAGATCAACAAGCTCAGTTGTATGTAATCATGTCGAATTTTCTCTTATTTTTTATCAAACCAAACACAGCCTTAATGGATAGGTAATTACTTACTTCCACCATAGGATCCTCCAATGACAACCACAGGGCAACTCTCTGCAGATAGGCTTTTCTTAATGTAAAGGATCACCTCTGCATAGTCTGCTAGTGCTTGGGATGAACTGAAGTATCCCAGTGTGCTGGCGTTTTGGAAGGCTTCTTCCATTGAGCCAAAGGGGACTGATTGACCATAATAGCGATGCTGTGAAGGAATTCAAATCTCTCAATAATGGTTCTAAGAGACTTAATAGAGTTAGTAAACTATGCAAGTTAGATGCCAGATCTCCTACCCATAAACTTTACCCACGTTCCTACCCACAACACACTATCACCGTTTATTGGGAACATCTCCCATGAAAGATAAGAGAGTTATTTCCAATGCGCCTGTCGTGTTGTGTGGGTAGGGATGTGGGAAGAGTCGGTGGATAAGATTTTCGAGTCCAGTTATTTACACTATATTGGGTTTAGGCTTTCGAAATGAGCCCACAAATTTTAAAAATTCCTTGATCAGAACCCACCCCAGTAATTGCGGTCTCAGTTCCGGGTCTAATACCCATAGCGGGTCTGGGTCTGGTTTGAATCGCTATATTTTATTTATACATTAAAAAAAGGCCATTACCCAATATTGGTCCCAACTCCCAATTAGTAGTCTAAGGAGGGTACCCATTTTGGCATCTTTGAACCCGTTTTCCTGATCCATTGACAGCCCTAATGTAGATGATAAGGGGAGTTCAGAATTTTAACAAACAGTGATCTTAGGTTGAAAACAAAAACAAAAAATCGGAATCATGGAAACCAAAAACAGATTAAGAAGATAGAAAGGTGAAATCCCATATGCAGGATTGATCAAATTGGAAAGTAATTTTCCTTCCTTTACCTCTATAAATACAACAAGAGCGTTGAATTTAGGGGCATGATCAGTCAGAAAGCCAATAGCATCAATATAGTTATCCAAAGGTGACTCCTCACCCAGGTAGACGAAGATGGGAGCACTAGAATTTGCACCACCCCAGAACTTATAGTTGATAACGTATCTTTGTTTGAAGGTGGCATAGCTTTCAGGCCGGTAGTTGAAGTGGTCGAGAGTCTGTTCATAGAAATAGTCCTTGAAATCCTCCGAGCTGAAGGAATATGGTTCAGAGGCCTCAAGACTCAGCACCCTTCTGGTTCGTTCTTTCACGCCAAGGCTGGGCGCCTTCAGCTCTGTTGCAGTTGCAGACGCCCATGTCATGAGAAGAAGAAACAGCCATGAACGCCATTGAATTGCTGAAATTCTCTGCATGCTAATGACCATATCTTCCAAACAACACAAGAATTCTCAACTGCACAAATCCCAACGACTCTTCAAAATTTGTATAGCACTCAGAGCCGTGGTGTACAAGAGATGACTAAATCCATATTTATATACAATCTCTCTCTCTCTCTCCGCAGAAATATTAAAAGATGAATTAGAGACAAAGAGATAACTGTAATGCCAACATACCCTTTGTCAATCCAAACCGTTCAATTTCTGGGTTCAAGATTAGTTTATAATAAAATGATCGAATCAATTTTTCTTTAATCAGATCGAGTAGCCTAGCGTGATGGTGGGAAAATCACTGTTACCACTTCATTTTCTTGAGCTTTCTTCGACGTATTAGCAAAATTGACCTGGAAATTTAGGAATGGAAGAAAACCGACGGGAATAGACTTTATGGATTGGTTGTCTCCTTTTGAAGGGTCGTCGGGCTGAAATTTCCTTGTATTTCGCGGCAGGCTGAGCTGCTTGCTTTGAAAGGACTGTAGACACTGGACCTACTGCATTCACGCATACGCGCATGCTTGCTTTACTCAGTCAAAGAGGAGACTCCGGATATGCTGGTTAATTACCTAGGTTTTTAAAATCGGATCGACAGGGAGCCGTTTTGAGTTCGGTTGCCAGGTTTGAACTATCCGACCGTCCTGTCTGAACGGACAGTCCGCTCTGATGGAAAAATAAAAAAATTTAAAAAACCTAAAAAATGGCCAAAAACTGTTTCTGAGTGGGACGGTTCGGTGGCCTGACCACCTAGGTCAATGGTTTACTGATTAAATCAATGATTTACAAACGAAACCAATCAAGTGACGGATGCCCGATTTTTCTGATCTGACCATCCAGTCCGATTTGGGAAACATTGTTAATTACCCATAGCGGTTCCCGGATACCCATGATAATTGAGATGTTGCTGATGTGCAGCTGTATTAATCATTAGTTTGCCTATATTTTGTTGTTAGTCAACCGGATAATTGGCCAATATCCTCGTGTTCTCACATTGTGCTGTAATGGTTCCAGGAAAGCGAATTTTTCAGAGAAGTTTGAACAGTGGGCAAGCAACTTACCCACCCGCTGAAAATGATATAGATTACCCGAATCTGAATTCAAACTAAGGGTGATCCGAATATGATTCATATAATTGCATCAAATATGGATACGCCCCTATCCGATCTGATATAATATGGTTCAATATTCGATTTAAATATATATGTCCATATATACTTAAAATTTATATTATATCTATAATTGAACATGGTGTATGTGTATTTTCACTAAATTGTCATAGTTTTAAGTTTTATACAAGTATTTTTTGAATTTATTCTGTTCATAAAATATAATATTAAATTCATTTTTATTTCATTTTATTAATAATGTATAAAATTTTGATCATTTTTTAGTCTAGTTTATTTATACTGTTTAATATCCAATTGCGATCTGAATTCTATTCAAATATGAATGAATCAATTTTATATCCAATCCAATCCGTTTGCAGTGGGTTATTGGGGCAACAGCCTTTTCTGTTGAAAGAGTTTCTGGGTTATTGGGGCCAAGGCATGTTCATGGCAGTTCACCAATTTACGGTCATACTTTTATTTTTATTCGAAAGAAATCAGAAGGGAATTATTAATTTACCCACTCTTATGGTATTGTGCCCAACCTAGAAATTCTCTCAACAAGAAAGGTTGTTGGCCCTCAACAGCCAAAGTTTTTCCATTTGCAGCCCTGCAATAGCTGCACATCCGGAAAACATTTCCTCCAGACTCATTTCGAAAAAAAAAAAAATTCCACACTCAATTCAATGTGCAACCTATATTCACACCCTTGGAGGAAACGGCTTCAGCTAATAGGTGACTAGCCTACTAGCCCTGTCCTATAGATCAAAACAGAATTGATGGAGGGTGATTTGACCCGACCCCTTGAGACAATGACACGTGGACATGACTCAGCACAAGTAACAGCTCAGCATCACAGCCTGATCGCGACTAAGTAACGAGTCAACAGGACAACTCGCTACGTCATATCGCTATGTCATAGCTCGCTACAGGGGGAGCCCACTACAGCGCGAGCTATAGGACCCCTGATGTACTGAAAGGGAATACTCTGAGACAAGTCTATCCCAGCTCATGAGTTAGGGTAACCAGCTCGCTCCAATACTTAGGTAGAAAAACTGCCTAAGGGGCCACTTTAGGAGGAATCACCTCGCAATATCCTCAGGAGCTCGCTACAAGGTAGCTCGCGATAAGGTAGCTCGCGACAGGGTAGCTCGCTACAGGGCAGCTCGCTACTAAGCGACGCGATATTTTCAGGAAGCTTCTATCTGACAAGACCGTACACGTCAGGCTGCGCCACATCTCCTGACCGATGGAGCAGTTCCTGCCAGCCCGACAAATCTGCGCCCACGTCTCTTGACAGGTGGTGGCGTGTCTGTCCTTCCAGGACATGTCACTCATTCGATTGGGTAGTACACTGCAATGGTTACCTGTGCAGCCCTGGCAGATAACAACTGCGACAGAGGTCCAGTGGTGGTTACGCCCGATTTGACAAGAACACTCATATATAAGAACCCCCTAGTTGAAGGAAAGGGCTCTCTCTCAAATATTTGATATCTTATCTTGAACTTACTCGAACTTTCTCTCGAGCTAACTCAGTGATTTAGCGCGACCTACACTCTTAGCCTCCTTTGCACTCTTTACTATTCTCTCCAGCGTTCTAACTTAAGCATCAGAGTATTCCCACCGGGCATGTCCCCCGGGAATCCTTCATCGTCATCTTCTTAGGTATCGTCCATCGCCAACGAGGAGCCAGTCAGCTGCCCGCTAGGAGTGCCTAGATTGCACAGTATCATTGGCGTTGTCTGTGGGAAACGCTTCAAAAAAGCCTTCCTCTAAGTTTCTACATTTTCCTTTCGAGAACTTAGCATTCATGGCCTCCTCCAGCAACGCCGGGTGTGGTGCCAACCAGAATGCTTCTAGAGAGCAACCCCAGCTTCCCACTATCTGTATCGGATAGTTCACCGTCCCCCTCTCTGTGGACAGAATTCCCAGTTTGAATGTGCCTCTCACAGTGGCACCCGTGAACGCTCCACTCCCTTCCACAGTTGGAGCGACCTTTGTTGAACCTTCGGTTGTGCCCCCAACGACCAACCAGAATCAGTTGGAAGACTTAGTGCAGTGCATGCGAGCCATGCAAGCTCAAATGCAGCAGTTCCAACTCTACTAGCAACAAGTGTTGCATCAGGTCTCTCAGAACCAGTATTAGCAGCAGTTCCCTTCCTTGCCTCAGGCCCAGCAGCCACTCCCTCCTAGGCACCCGGCCTCGAAGCAAACCAAACCCTCCTGCCGGAGCGAACGACCTCGCTGGGGAGAAGCCTCTCAGGCCCAGGATCTCTCCAAGAGCCAGCACCCGGCCTTGAAGCAAGTCAAGCCCTCCCGCCGGAGNGTATTAGCAGCAGTTCCCTTCCTTGCCTCAGGCCCAGCAGCCACTCCCTCCTAGGCACCCGGCCTCGAAGCAGACCAAGCCCTCCCGCCGAAGCGAACGACCTCGCCGGGGAGAAGCCTCTCACGCCCAGGATCTCTCCAAGAGCCAAGCCTCTTCACATGGCAGAAAGGAGAGGCCGGCCACCCCCGCCTCGCAGCTTGTGGGCAGGTTGGAGGCCTCCTAGCCAGCCAAGCCCATATCGCCCCAGCACTCGCAGTTCAAGCTCCCGCTCGTAGAAATTCCGTTTGAGGTCCTAGCCGCAGACACCAGGCAGGGCCCTTCGGTTCAGAGCTACCACCAGCAGTTCGAGCCCATCGAGCTCGGTAACACTGAAGCAAACAGCACCAACGCTGAGCCAGCAAAGCAGCAACAAAGACGCGGCGAGCTCGCCGAACTGCTACCCATGTCTCGCCTGAGTTCAAAGGTAAAGAGGAGGTGAGCTCAGGTGAAGTAAAAGCTACTCCTCTCCTCTCAGTTCCTTCCCCATTGTCTCTAGAACTTCTTGATGTCCCCATGCCAAGAGACTTCAACCTCCCTCCACTGGACAAGTATGATGGATCCTTCAATCTGAATGATCATGTGGACGCCTTTCAGTCCCAGATGCACCAGGCAAGGGCCAGTGAATCCTGCATGTGCGTGGCCTTCTCAACCACCTTCAAAGGGGTAGCCCGCACATGGTACCGAAACCTCGCACCCGGGTCGGTAAGAAGCTGGGCACAGTTCGTGCAAGTTTTCACCTCCCACTTTGTCACCAGCAAGAGGTGCCCGAGAACTCAAGAAAGCCTCCTCGGCATAGTTCAAAAGGAAGGGGAGTCCATTCGGAGTTACATCAAGCGGTTTAATGACACTTGTCTACAGATATCCGATCTTGACCCTGCAGTTCGCCTCACCGCAGCCAAGCGAGGTATTACCCACAAAGAGTTCAAGTGGCATGTGGTCGTCAATCAGCCCAAGATCGTGACTGAGTTCCTTAAGATCGCAGATTGGTTTATCGGGACGGAGGAAGAGATCTACCAGAAGGGCAAACAGGCCCTCGAGAAAAGGAAAAGGGAACCAGAGCCCTCAACTTAGGGCGATAGCAAGAAGAAGAAGGACCAAGCTCAAGGGGCAAAGCCAAGCCAGCCCTTCCGAGCTCCAGCAGTAGAAAGGGACTACACGCCCCTCAACGCGAAGCGGGCCAAGATCCTCATGGCGATCAAGGATGCCCCGTATGTGAAGTGGCCACCCCGGCTGAAGGCAGACCCTAATGTTAGAAATAAAAAATTGTATTGTAGTTTTCATAAACATCACGGTCACAGCACCGAGAACTGTAAAAACCTCCGTGACGAGATAGAGGAGCTCATTCGTCACGGGTATCTGAGAAAAAAATGTACAAAATAATAATAGTAATAATAAAGCAGGTCCGCAGGGGGAGCAGAGTAGGGACGCTCCCGAGTCCAGCAGGTAGGCAGAATAGACGCAGAAGCAGTCCCCCGAAGAGAGACCAGTTCAGGGGACTGTCCACATGATAGCTGGTGGTTCAATCGTGGCAGGCTGCACCTCAGCTGCAGCTCGCGAGGCCGTCAGGGAAGAATAGAACCCCCCG